GTCCACTAGCGGGTCGGCCCAGCGGAGGGGGTGCTCAGCCCCAGGATGCCCCAGCCGACCTGTCTCACCAGTCGGGGCTCACACCACCTCCCTTACCTAGCCCCTGCACTAGCTGGGCAGCCCTTTGGGGTGCAGGAAGGCAGGAGGGTTTTGAGCCCCCAATCCTGACTTGGCAGGGGCGCCAGCCCACCTCGCCTTCACCCTGGGATCTGAGTACCGCAGTAGCGAGGGACATGCAGCCACCTGTGGTTCAGGCCAGCTGGGGCTGCTGCCACTCCGCCTGTCCCCCAGATGGGCACTGAGGAGCTAGCCCTGCCCGCCCCACCGTACTCCGCCCCACCCCCCAAGGTTCTGGTTCCATCTCCTCCTCTGTTCACAATCTACCTCTGGACATCTGTTCACAATCTACCTCTGGACAGTTGTTGTTTTTGTTCAATGTTTCATCCTCTGACATCCGACTTGCTGCTGCCACCAGCGCCACATCCTCATCGCCGCAGCAGGCTGGGTTACTGACCACCCCAGTCCCAGGGAAGGTGGGGCCCTGCCCCTAGGATGCTGCAGCAGAGTGAGGAGGGGCCCACACTGCCCACAAGGGTGTAGGGGCCACCTTCTCCCCTGTTCTGTCGGGGAGTGTTTAGCCATTATTTGTCCCAGCCTGGGGCTCCCCCTCTGGTTTCCTATTTGCAGTTACTTGAATAAAAAATATCCTTTTCTGGACTGGAGTCTGTCTGGTGTGTGCCCTGGAACCTGGCTGTGGGGGTGGTGGTGGGGGTGGAGCTGGCTCCAGGGAAGGTTAAGGCCCTCTTGAAGCTATCTACCCCCTTAGCCACAAAACGTCTTTATTTACAAAATAGATATATACCAAATACTATACATCTGGCCCCATCACCATGGAAACCTGCCCCAAAGCCCTCCTGGTGGGGAGGGGTCTGGCAAAGCCCAGCCCAGTTGGGCTAAAAGCGAAGCTGTCTCTGGGTCCTCTTGGAGGTGGGGCAGGCTCAGCGTCCAGAGGGCTGAAAACCTGGGAGGGTGGGGTAGGAGGGCTGCTGTGCAGAGCTTAGGAAAGTGGGTACAGGAATGGAGCCCCAGTACCCAGCACGGGCCTTGGGCACACCGGGCTGACAGGCTCTGAGGCTGCAGGTCAGGCGAAGGGTCCAGTCAGGTCTTGACATCTAGCAAGGGCACCCGCTTGTGCTGGTAACCACTCTGCCAGCCGTGG